TATTATGAATTGTAGATCTCATTTTCAATTGAAGGGGACAGATTTTTAGAAATTAGATTACTTAGACATAAGTAATGAACACTGATTAAATAATTTTATCAAATTACTTTTTAAAAACGTATTGATTTATATTTTTAATCAGCAGTTTATTCAAAGTAATAATAGAACAAAAATAGAAAAATAATAGAAATAATAACATAGCATTAGCAAGAAATATTTCATTAAGTACTGTTATATGCCAGGCACTGAACCCAGGGTTATCTTTGCCAAGGAGTAAATTATACATATGTTTGCTTTCCATCCGTATACATACTCATTGTTTACTAAGGGAATATTGAAATAGACATTAATAAAATGGGCCAAGAGTCTTAAATATACAGAATAAATCATATACACTGTAACTTATTGTATATGCCTTTGTTTTTCTTTTAAAACTTTTAAAATAAAAATAGCTTGCTTAGCCATTGTTTGCTAAAGAATATAAATGTACAACAAATAAAACCCAATGTTTTCGGAAAGGTAATGCTATTCATCATAATATGTAAATCTCTGTGACCTATTACTATGGAGACTACATTAATTATTCAAACTGGAGCAATTGTAAGAATGAAGGGGAGAGCTCTTAATAAATACACTGGGATACGCAGTGTAAGTTGAAACTGTTCTCTGCATAGTGGGACATATAGTCACTTCATTTCATATAATGCCTATTTTTTACTTAAATAAAGAGATGGTGTTGTATTGGCAGACATTTTGAACTCAGACCCACACAATTATTTGTGGGTCGAGAGACTTTCATCTTTAACATGTGGCTTCTACGAGTACACTGGGTGTTGCCTTTGTGGAGGATTTATGGATCATGCCTGGAAATGAGGCAGTCATACTCACCCACATTCCATTGGCAAGAACTCAGTCATTTGGCCTCATCTGAATACAATGGTGGCTTCAAATTGTAGTCCATTTAAATACTCAGGAAGAAAGGAAAAATTGTTGAGCAACAGCCAGCCAGTATTTTTCCACAGCTTAGAAATAGAACATTTTAAATAATCTTTGTTTGTTTATAAAAACATGTAAAAAATTGGATCCAGAAGAAATACAACTGTAGGTTGATATTATATTTTATCTCTTGACCATTGTTAATCTGATATTTCTAAACTAGCCCTGAAAGAGATTCAATTAAAATATATAAGATAAAATTTATCTCCTATTAAATTACATTATTCAAAAATTCTGTCCCATATAATTTTTATGAGAACCCATGTGCCCAATCCCATTTTATTTCAATAACTCTATATAATATAAAGAACATGGGCTTCTGAGTCAGAGAGACCCGAGTCACAATCGTGATTACTGTTTATTAGATGAAGGATCTTGAAGAAGCTACTTAACCTTTTTGAGCCTCAGTTTCCTGTCCTGTAAAATGGAGGCAAATGCCCATCTCAGAAAGTTGTTGTGAGAATTAATTAAGTTGAATACTTAACATGCCATGTTTAATGCTTCCCCCATAGGAGATGGTCAATAAAGCCAATCCCTTAAGTACTCTTTCTCTTAGAGTACCCTTTAAGTACTCTTTCTCTTAGAGTACTTAAATTCTGTGGGATTAACTAATTGCTACTCCAAACAAGTGTCCCCTCTCACTGATTAATAAAGCATGTCAACTGGAAAGACATCATTTTAATCTCAAAGTGCAGACATTTTGTAGTTGCTAACATGTTTGCAGAAGTTACTCTTCTTCAAATACAATTTAAAAATAATTTAGTGCAACAAACTGTATTTCCCCCACCTCCCTAATCTCGTATGATGACCTCACACATGGAACTCATCGTTCAAAAGATTTCTGAGATGTTATGAGTGCAGAAAGGCACAAACTCATTTTCATGGCATAATAAATTTAATTTTTAATCAAAGGAATGGAGAGATTTTTTTTTTCCAGAGATAATGGTGCCTTAAAAGATAGTTGAGAATAGGGAAGAATGATGTGGAAATAGAAGGAGAGCTTTCAGGACCTGACAGTGTACCGCCGCAAGTTCATGCTCTAACAATCAGTGTGTGTCACAAACCAGGTGATTCTTCAGGAGGGGAAAGGTGGGATGTAATCCTAGCAATCTTCGCCTCTAAGTCGGCTCTTCAGCACTATCTTTGTTTGGGACTTTGGTAACACATACAATTGACTTGAATGTTAAGGCTGCTTTTTACCAATGTCTCAAAAGAATTTGAAAGCCAAACAGAATTTATCACTAGCTACTAAAATCAGAGCAGGCTGTAACAGAGTTTAATTTTTTTTTCTGAAAAGCAAGAACATGTTGGTTTTCTGAGACCTTGAGTGGAATGACCTGAGTGCATATCTAAGTGATTTTCAAAAATGTAGTTATCACCAAGTCTTGCCTATAAAAATCCACTTTATTAAAAAAAAAAAGAGAGAGACAGGGTGCTCTGTCATCCAGGCTGGAGTGCAGTGGCACAATCCTAGTTCACTGCCATCTCGACCTCCTGGGTTCAAGCAATCCTCCCACCTCAGCCTCCCGGTAGCTAGTACTATGGGTGCATTCCACCATGCCTCTCTAATTTTTAAATTTTTAAATAGAGATTGGGGTTTTGCTGTGTCACCCAGGCTGGTCTCGAACTGCTAACCTCAAAGTGATCCTCCTACCTCAGCCTCTTAAAGAGCTGGGATTACAGGTGTAAGCTACTGTGCCAGGCCAAGAGCCCACTCTTTTAAATCTACAAGTGGTAATAAATACTATTGCTGCTTATAGGATTTATAATAATATTAAAGGACTAATTTCATTCGAGGTTACGTATGGTTACTTAATAACTTTTGGGAAGGGAAGAATCCACTTGGAGCTAAGAAAATACAGGCACACCCTGAAGATTCCTGTTTCCATTTTCACTTTTAACCACCTGCCTTATCATTCCATATATTCCCTGTTTGGCCATGACCCTCATCGTGTCCCTTTTCTTGATGGCTTTAATTCCCATGAGTTTCTGACTGCCACATACTCTATCTTTACTGCACCTCATTTATTCAGGGTGCCAGATGAACACTATATTTTGTGATAAATGAATCTTGGCCAAGTGTTAATGAGCAAGGACTAGAAAGCTGATTTTTGGTAATATATGCATTTTAGCTGAGACATTTAGATAAATTTACTCCACACTTGTTTTCTAAAACATAAATGGCTGACATTTTAGGCTTGCATAGAGCTGATTTTAATGACACTTAAATATAGGGTGGACCATGGTTATCAGCAACCCTGTGTTCCTTTGTGGCAAGAAAAAAGGTTGGACCAAATTGATTAGCCTGGTGGCTCTTTATTAATATTTTGAAGGACTGTCTGTAAAATAAATTGTGGTGCGGTGCCATGTGCCTCCAGGGACCTCTAACACATTTTTAGTACTTGTTAAATTCAAAGTGATGCTGAAATTATAGGAAAGTAGTAACAAATTGACCAAAGTTTAATAGCAAACTTTCATTTTCTGCATCAAGCATTTGCTGAATACAGATCTAGAAATTTAAATCTGTCCTTCTCTGGAGATGACAGGTCTCATGAACAGACCAAGAAATTCGCCTGTAGGCTTTCAAAGAGTTCACTTGAAGGTCTCCTTTCACTAGGACAGATGACTTAGAAGGAAGGATGGCTGCAGAAATCTTGTCTTTTCCAATTTCACACTTTTCTTTCCTCAGTCTAAGCTTATAAAGATCGAATTTTCCCTCCTTTTTTGCATCATTTTTCATATCTTAACACAGGGCATCTCTCAGATTTCTGCTCAGATCAAGGGCAGAGCTAGGCAGATCAAGGTAGAATAAGTTTTAGCTAAATGTTTATGCCAGTTTTGAAAATTTACAGCTTGCATGGAACACTTGCAGAGGTCATGGAAAAAGTTTTTTTTTTCTTAGCTAAATTACTTTAATTTAGCCTAACAAACACAAAGTCAAATGTAATGCAACCTATTCTATGGTGCATAGCTTTCTAAATTGAAATTGAAATTTATCCCAGAAGACTAGAAGGCATTCCAATGTTTTGAAAACGAGTGATAAAAATAATTGTTTATTCTTATCAAGCAGAATGTTCTTCATGGAGGAACAATGAGAAACCAGGAGATTCCACAGCCAGATGGGTGGCCTTGTGTAGACAAAACACAGCTGATTAAATTTTGTACTTTGGTGTCAGGTAGACACAGCAAATATTCATGACTCATTCTATAATGGATTCCTTGTCTTTTTAGGATTCGTATGGTCAGCCTTCTTATGAAAATTTAAAAACAAAGTTTGTTTTTTAAATAGTTATGGTCTGTTAAATTTCCATAAGAAAATGTATGATATGATATTATATGATATGATCAACTGGTAGAATCATAAATAAAAGCTTTAAAGTTTATGTTTTCAAATATCTCCACAGGTTTATGCCATTAGTATGTCAGACTCTCAAGTATATTATTGTATGAGACTCATAATTATCAAAGCCTCAACAGTATTCAAATGTGATGTTTACAAAATTAGATCCCCATAATTATATTGATATAATCTATACAGATGAGAAATGCTCAGTTAACTGTTTAGCAGTGGTTTACTCTAGGTTCCCCAGGTAGTCCAAAATCTAGAAGGTTTTTGACACTGTTGATTTGATTGTTAGTATTATTGTCATCCCACTAAAATCAACACTAGTTGTTTCATTGATTCAGGTACTCACCTGTATGTGTGCGTGTGTGTGTGTGTCTATTTTAAGCATTGGCCAAAGGTAGCAGGTGGCACAGATGGCTGTCCAGATCTTTTGCTTTACCAAAGTAGATTAGAGTTTTTAAAAACAACTGATTTCAGATATTCTATAATTTCTACTGTCTGGGGGAGACACTGAAGGCTTTTTATCATCTCTTGAGATGAGCTGATTATAAAAGAGTTTTCCTGGTGTTCCTCTTTAACCAAAATCTTCTCATTCTCTTTCCTTGCAGGGCCCTAGGCCTTTGTTTTATGTGATAAATCACTCTCCTTCTTCCCAAAGCAAAATGAAAGGAGCAATTATATCCTTGATGATTCTTAATTGTCGCAATTAACAAAGTCAGTTTCTGGAGTCTGAGCTGAAAATGAAGCTTAGAATGCACCTTCAATACATGAAATTTGGTAAGTCCATTTGAATCTTTTCTTTTTTTTAGTCAAGAAAATGTGACTATTTGAGTATTGAACTGTAGTCACTATACTGGTACTCTCAATTTAGCTTAGAATAAAAATATGTTCTCTCATTATATTCTTAGTTAAATTAAAGGGAAGAAAAACACAACAAACAAAAACCAATATTATCACTCAAATAGATTTTATTTTATTTGTTTTTTACAGCCCAGAGGTCTTTATTTTTCTTACAGCGATTCTGCTGTGAATTTGTAGGGAACAGGCTCCAGCAGCTCAGGCTACTTTCCACTTGGTCTCACAAACTGTGCTTCTCCAAGCAGGCTGGGGCTTCTGTTGAACCCAGGTGACTTTCTCTTTGACTTCTTTTTTTTTTTTTTTTTTGAAACCAGAATCTTGCTCTGTCATCCAGGCTGGAGTGCAGTGGCACCATCTAGGCTCACTGCAACCTCCAGCTCCCGGGTTTAAGTAATTCTCCTGGCTCAGCCTCCCGAGTAGCTGCAATTACAGGTGCGTGCCACCATGCTCAGCTAAGTTTTGTACTTTTAATAGAGACGGGGTTTCACCGTGTTGGCCAGAATGGTCTCAAACTTCTCAGCTCAAGTGATACGTCCTCTCTGGCCTCTCAAAGTGCTGGGATTACAGTTGTAAGCCACTATGCCTGGCCTGGCTTCCTTCGTGTTCTGATTATTTTCTTTCAAGTGTTTCCGGACGCTATCCTGGCTCTTCAAGTGCTTAAAATGCTGAACATGTATATTAATTCTCCTGGCAAGAACCTTGCCCGTACCTTGTGTGTTGACAGCGATGCCAGCAGCATGCTGGGGAACACTATAGACTCTTCCGGTTCTGCCATGGCAACACTTGCACGGCACTCCCTTTTGAACAGTACCCATTCCCTTGATGTCTACAATATCACCTTTCCTGTTAATTCCCACGTATGTGCCCAAAAGAGCAACTCCATGTTTTCCAAAAGGCCTGAAGAACATATAGCAGGCACCTCGTCTTTTTCTCTTTGTGTTTATCATTTTGGGGAATTACAGAACAATGGAGGTTCAGGCCAAAAGGCTTGACCAGATATTATTTTAAGCAGTAAGTTTTCACTTTTTCCAAATATGATCCCCTTACATCCAATAAGCTCGTTCTCCCTGTATTAATGTTAATTTGTCAGTGAGTATCAGTATATCAAATAACTTTACTAAATACTGGTATAAAAAAGCACTGTGCTAGCCCAATAGGCAAATTAAAACCTAAGTTATGTAACCTGGATGTGCCCTTTGCTTATATATGGAAGAATTGGAAAGATTCATTCATTAGTGGCTGTGATATATAAAGGAATTTAAGTTGAAAGACATTTTGGAAAAATTCAAATATTATTACTAAGGGAAAGTAAAAATAAATATGTTTCACATCATTGGATATGAAGAAAGCAAATGAAATATCTCTTAATCCAAATAAAAAAATAAACAGCAGGAAAATACAAATAGTTTATACTCTTTATACTCTATTAAAAGGCAATACTCTCAGAAAGATTTAAAATCTGACTGTACACTGTTTTACAAGAGACATACCTATTACCAAATGATACAGAAAAGTTTAAGATAAAAGGGCAAGCAAGCATTTTTTTTAACATAAAGGCAAATAGAAAAGGTAAATATACAATCTTTGTTTCAGGCAACATTAAATAAGACAAAAGCTGCTTTTTTATATTTTAAATGGAACAATTATCATCACATTTCTAGTAATGATAATTTATGAAAAATAATATGGCATTAAAATACTTGCAACAAAAAATTTAGAAATACGAGGAAAACAGAAATGGAGTTGCTTTGGGTAAATCAAGAAAACTTTCCAGGCTTATTTAGAAAGATGCATATGTACTATTTTCTTAGGCATTGTTAATGGAGCATGACCCATCTAGTTCTTGGCAGGGCCTGGAATGAGCAGGCTCAGACATTTTTCTTAGTTTAGGTTATATCCTGCCCTAATAACTATGTTTATTAACAACTGTTGTAGAGATACCCACATCTGTAGAATGGAATTCATTATTTTGCCCTCTGAAACCAGTTCTGTCTTGGATGCTAAAACCCACTAAATTGTAACACAGTGCACTCAAGCTGCTAAGCTATAAACCTGTCATCCTTGGCTCTCCTTATCTCTAAAATTGTATCTATTGAATCTGTCTTCTCCTTTCCCCCTCGCTATCACTGTCTTATTTTAGGCTTTCTTTGATGTAGCCAATGTTGTCCTTAACACTGGACTCATACAAACCTGATTATACCATTTTCTTTAGAAACCTTTGTTAGTTTCTTTTGCCCAGGTTATAAGATCAAAATCATACTCCTTACGTGGTTGAAATACCCTTAACAATCTGCCCTTCTCCCCACATCTTTCCAGATTTATCTTTCTCCATTCTTCCTCTAATCTTCCATTTACTTAAAATATATGTTATTGCTATGCTAATTTTTAAATAAATAACCAAAACACCAGACCCATTTATAACTGTTCTTTGACCTACATTCTCTCTTCTTAGAATAACTTTCTCTGTCTCCTTTTTTTACTCATTTTTTAAATCTTTAAGTTGCATATAATTTAATCAGCGTGTGTGTGTGTGTGTGTGTGTGTGTGTGTATGATATATACTCATGTATCACTTAATGATGGGGTTATATTCTGAGAAATGTGTCATTAGACAATTTTGTCATTGTGCAAATATCGTAGTTTACTTACAAACCTAGATGGTATAGCCTGCTACACAGCTAGGCTATATGGTATAGTCTATTGCTCCTAGGCTGCAAACTTGTATAGCATGTTACTGTAGTAAATTCTGTAGGGGACTGAAGCACAACAGTAGCTGTGTATTTATTTACTTTTTTGTTTATGAGGTTTTGTTAAAACTAGCTTTAACATTAATAGTACACCATACAAAGGTAAAATAGGGTATTCTCTTCTGAACAAAATGTGTAATATTAAAAGATAAAAGACTTTGTTTACTTTTTCAGTAAACTGCAGGAAGAAAATGGAACAGGAGAGACAGATTTATTTGGCTTCATGCTGTCTTTATTAGGTCTTACTGTTTGGGAAACTGAATCTTCTCTTTATTAAATGGAAAATGTTTCTGTTTTATCACTGTAGTTAAATGAATAACATTCTTTAGTGACTCATGATCCTGTTTTGTGATATCAAGTGTCTTAAAACTTTGATATTTGACTGACTTTCCAATGGCAAAATTTCAAGTTCTAACTTCAGTCTTTTTGACCTTAAACAAACTTTCTTGGATATTAGGTTCCCTGAAGTCCAAGGGAGATATACTAGGCTTATTAGACTTATTTGTTATGTTAGTATACAGTAAGCCTTGTCAGATATAAGGTGGTATTTAACTTTCTTTGAGTTATATTTATATAGATATATTGTTCATACATGTTCCAGTATTGTATGACATTCCTGAAAATCTGCTATCTTAATATATGTTCTCAGTAATACTTACGATTATCATGTTAAATTGTTGTATGCCACAGAAATAACCAAATTTCCTTGTCAATGATGTCGTTGACTATGGCTGTCCTAAAAGTTTTGTCATTCACAAATGTCGTTTTTATTAACACTTCAATCTCACTGCTTGTTATTGGTTTATTCAGAGTTTCTATTTCTTCCTGGTTTAATTTAGGAGGGTTGTATATTTCCAGGAATTTATACATCTCCTCTAGGCTTTCTAGTTTATGTGCATAAAGGTGTTCATAGTAGTCTTGAATAATCTTTTGTATTTCTGTGGTATCAGTTGTAGCATCTCCTGTATTAGGCTGTTTTCATGTTGCTGATAAAGACATACCTGGGACTGAGTAATTTACAAACGAAAGAGGTTTATTGGACATATAGTTCCACATGGCTGGGAGGCCTCACAATTATAGCAGAAGGCAAGGAGGAGCAAGTCACATCTTATGTGGATGGCAGCAGGCAAAAAGAGAGCTTCTGTAGGGCAACTTTCTTTTTAAAATAGTCAGATCTCGTGAGACCCATTCACGATCACAAGAATAGCATGAGAAAGACAAGACCCCTTAATTCACTCATTTCCCACAAGGTCCCTCAAAATGTGAGGATTATGGGAACTACAAGATGAAATTTGGGTGGGGACACAGAGCCAAACGTATCATTCTGCCCCTGGACACTTCCAAATCTCATATCTTCATGTTTCAAAACTAATCATGCTTTCCTAACAGTCCACCAAAGCCTCAACTCATTTCAGCATTAACTCAAAATTCCACAGCGCAAATTTTTCCAAAGCAGCCGCATCATTTTACATTCTTACTATCAATAGCAATATATGGGGGTTCCAATTTCTCTATATTCTCATAAGTTGTTATCTCCCTTTTTAATTATAGTCATTCTAGTATTCCTTTCTTTCTTACATGACATATAGATTCTTATAAATAATGCTTCATGCTTTGCTTTTTTCCACTTAACAATATATTCTGGAAATAACAAGGCATCTTAGAGGAATTTTACTCATTATTTTTATAGCTGCATAGTATTCCATTATGTAAATGTATCATAATTTATTTGATCCTTCTCCAACACATGGATATTTGGTTTATTATCACTATTTTGAAAATATGAACAATGCAGCAACAAATAACCCTGTGCATATTAGTTAAGCCTATGCATAATATTCATATTATTGGAAAAGTATCTTCAGGATATATATGTGGTTGTGGTAAATATTGTAATATTTTTATCCAGAAGGCATAAACCGATTTTCATTCCCATGAGCAGTGTATGAGAATATTTGTTTGCTATAGCCTTGTCAACAGAATTTGCTGTGTTGCTTTTAGATGTTTGCCAGCCTAATAGGTGAGAAGTGGTATCTTAGTGTTGTTTAATTTCTCTAATTTTATTGAGATTGTTTTTTTTAATGGTTTTTGTCATTTTTGAATCTTTTTAGTGAATTTTCTGTTCCCTTAATTATCTTTTAAAGACGTTAGTAAATAACGAAATAGTCTTTTATATTTATTCACATTTATTATTCCTAACATTCTGTTTTCTATGTATTCTAATTTCCATCTTGTATCATTTTATTTCAGCTTGAAGAACTTCCTTTAACATTTCTCTTAGTGTAGATGTATTAAGGACATATTTTCTCAGCTTTTGTTTTTCTAAAAATGTGTTTACTTTGCCTTCATTTTTTGACAGGTATTTTACCAGATAGAGAATCCAGCCTGCTGGTTATTTTCTTCCAGTACTCCATGTTGTTCCACTGTCTTTTGGCTTATGCCGTTTCTGATTAGAAGTTTTCAGTCATTCTTATTTGTTTTCCTGCCAATGCCAGCCCTTGGTGTGTACCCCTGAGCCCTCAGTAAGGACCTCTGGCTACAAGTTTTCAGGTGAGTACAGTCCTGTATTGTCTCTGTACCTCCTTCAAGTTTATAATGTCACAGTTACCCACACTTTGCAACTAAATGCTAATGAACAATTTGGTTGGTACCTCATCATCCTGCTATTTTTCTAGAGATAAGAGCAGCCTCAGATCTTTTCTCTCATATGAAAAGTTCATTACTTTCTAGAATTTTGTTCATTCAGGTTTCTTTGTGCGCTCAACTTTGCAATAAGTTAAAAGTAAAAGAGTGACCAGGTGCAGTGTGGCTCACGTCTGTAATCCCAGCATTTTGGGAGGCCTGGGGGTGGGGGGTATGAATCATGAGGTCAGGAGTTTGAGACCAGCCTGGCCAATATGGTGAAACTACTAAAAATACAAAAATTAGCTGGGCATGGTGGCACATGCCTGTAGTCTCAGCTACTCGGGAGGCTAAGGCAGAACTACTTGAACCCAGGAGGTGAAGGTTGCAGTGAGCCAAGATCATGCCAGTGCACTCCAGCCTGGGTGACAGAGCAAGACTGTAACCAAAAATAATTTTTTTAAAGAGTAAAAGACTGTGTTTTTGTAGCTGCTCCAGATTGGTTCAGTTGTTAGGATGATAATAGCAGTCTCCTATGATACGGATCTAATGGAATATAAAAGTCCATGACTTCAATCAGAATGTTTGTAGCAACTTCATTTAAATCACCTGTACACACAGCCAATGTGTGCTTATTCCACAGCATTCATTCATTGAACTCCCTTCTTAAGACACGATCACCCTTTGTTTTACTGTAGGAAATGTGAGTTTTTGCAAGGAGAGGTAAAGTTTAATTGTCAAACCTAGAATTAAGTGAATCTGTAGTCTCCTATGATAACAAAAAGAGCGATTGACGTGAGTTTTAAAAGCTTAGCATTGTTAAGAAGATTGCAACAATATCATGTTTAAAACAACTAGATTAAATAGTAATAAAACATTTAATTTTAGTTATAAAATAAGCAGATTTTAATGCTTTGTCATCTCCAATAAATTGCAGTTTTGTTTTTCTTTTGAATTTCTGTTGAGCTGACACTTCATGCACAGACATCAAGCAGTGTTCAAATGCAAGGCTCTATGAAAAACAAAATTTGGGGAAATGAATGCAGATTACTAGCTTGTATTACATTCTCTTCTCTTATAGTATATGTCAAAGAAAAGATTTAATCAGTTTCACCAGTAAGATCATATCACTGCCACTAAGTATTTTAATGGCAGAGTTTAGGCCATAGTTTTCATTTGTATTTGAAGCTATATGGATTTAGATTATTTTATTGTATTGGATTTAAGATGCAATCATTTTCATAAATGACCAAAATATTTCATTTCAAAGAGAAACATTTCTAACATTTCTTTTGTTTTCTAAAAGAGTAGGAATTCAGAGGGATTATGTTACTTTTCATTTGAATAAATGTCAGCTATTGGGAAGAGAAATAAATTGCCTTTACATTTAATTGTATCACAGCTGATTTTGGAATAATGAGATATTTTAATTTTTCAGAAAATGTTAGTGTGCTATAAAATCAATGTTCTTTCTATTATTTTTTCCAAGGTGAATAATCTAAATTTATTCGTTTTTATTTAGCGATAGATGATTTAATAATATAAGGCTATTCATAGCTGGTTTAGAAAAGTCTCTGAATGTTTCATTCTCTTGGTGTTTAAAAACACTTTCAGGTATTTTTACAAATATTTGTATAAGCTGAGTGCCCTTTGTCCAAGGCATACTTTCTCCATGTTTATTTTTCTGTCCATTGCTTCAAATGAAATGGAGTGAAGTATATGCAGAGAGAGTTGCTTTTTCTTCTCCATGTTCTTACCTTGCCCATAGAAAAACTGAGAGTAGCCATCAGACAAAAACATGTTGGCCTTTAGGGAAGGTCCTATGTGTGTGTAGTTGGGGTAGGAGGAAATATTCAGAGTGACAAATTGTCTTTTCTCTCTTCTTTTTCACTAAAAACCCTCCTCACATGGAGGGTTGTACCTGAGTTCTTTATTATCACTTCTGCAACAGTATGGCAGGCCAAGAGGAGCAGGGCAGCATAGGGAGAAGAGGGATCCTGAAAAGCTAGCAAAAAATACTTCGTGCCTTGAGTTTGTTGAAGCTTTATACTACCCAGGCCAGATGGGAGGAGATATGTAGTCTGTGTGATTTCATTGTATATCACCTGTTAAGTACTCTAGAAGTGAACTAAACTTTCCCCACTGACGACGTGGTGGAGTGGAAGATAAAAAGACGGTTTGTTGAAGGCTTTATAACTTATCTTATTATCTTAATCTCTACAATTTGCAGTTTGTAAAATTCTAGGGTAAGCATAACCCAGACTGTTATTTAACTTTACCTGTGAGGTGATTGAATGGAGAGGATGATTAATCAAGTTTATACAGTCTGCAATGGCAGAGCGAGGATGCAGACTTCAATTTCTTCTATGACTCAATAGTGCTACCCTGTCACCACTTTGCTACTTGAACTTCTCCTATCTGGGCAATTGCAGGTTTTAACTTCTAGGAGCACTAAGTACTTGAGTGTGTACTAAATACATCTGTGCATATTGTTCTAATGTGTATATATATATTTGCTAAATCCATTAGCAAAATTGCTTTATGTAAATGAGAAAAGTTGTATCAGATAGATTGAAAGAAATCCAAAAGAGAATCACAGGAAATATGAATTCTCAAGTACCCTGAATTTTCCTACTAGTACTTTGTTCTCTGGGCTCTTTTTAAATCTCTATCCAGACATTTTTCAGTTTAATAATGAATTCCCTTGTCTCCTGTCATGAAGTCAAATAATGTTTAATAACTACAGGCATTTTAGCTTGTTTGTCCAGTCATTTTTATTTATTTAGTTAGTTAGTTAGGGTTTCACTCTGTACCCAGGCTGCTGCAGCCTCAATCTCTTGGGTGCAAGTGATCCTCCTGCCTCAGCCTCCAGAGTAGCTGGGACTATAAGTATGTACCACCACACCTGACTAATGTTTTTCTTTTGATTTTTTTTTTAAAGGAATAGTCTCACTATGTTGCCCAGGCTGGTCTTGAACACCTGATCTCAAGCAATCCTCCCACTTCAGCCTCCCAAATCCCTGCTGGGATTTTAGTTGGGAGCCACTGTACTCTGCCTGTCTATTCATTTGTTCAGCACTTATTGAATCCTGTCTAGATACTAATCATTGTATTTGGTCTAAGGATTAAAAAATGAAAAGCAATTCCTGTTTTCAGGGAGGATGTCACATTGTGAACAAGACAGAGAATTTAGCAGAGATCATGGTCTTTATATTGGCTACAAAGTAAGGATTATATACACTTGTTTGTCTTTCACTATGCCACTCTCCTTTCCTGCACAACTGAAGAAAATGGAATTCTGCTTTACCATATGCCTTCTGATTCTGAACGGCTCTGCAAAAGCCCGGGGTTCTATCTATCTGTTATATAAACTCAGGAAGGATATCCTTTCACTCACAGAGTTTCTCAAAACAGTTTCTCTTCTCTAGAAAATATTCCACATCTATCTCTGTGCAAACATTGCCCAGTATAATTTTGTAGCACAATACATTTTACTATTGTGATGAGATTTGGTTTTCTCTTAGAGTGGAGACTCTTAAAGTGTGGTTTGTGGAAGCTTGAGGGAATCCCAAGGTGTCTGTGAAGCCAAAACTATTCATAACAGTAAGAATGTATTTCTCCTTTTGACATTTGCCCTGGTGGTGCAAAGCCATAGTCGGTTAAACTGTGGTGCTTTAACTGTAGGCAGTGGGCCCAATTGTTGGCAGAAGTTACTGTGATATAGGCAGTGGGCCCAAATTGTTAGCAGAAGTCACTGTGGCCTTCTTCACTACATAACAAAAAAATAAAGTCAGTTTGCTCTGAGCATGCCCTTGAAAAGGGAGTACAAATAATCACTTCTATTACATTCTGTCCTTAAGTACACATCTTTCCAAATATATTCTGCATAAACCACTCTGCTGCACAATGCAGTATGACAGCTGCCTCAAAGAAGCATTTGTATAATTGTTTGAGTTGTGAACTGAACTAGCTGGGATTTACACAGAACACTATTTTTACTTGAAAGAATGACTGACAAGCTATGGTTTTTCAGTCTTGTTATTTGGTAGGTATTTCCTCAAAAATGAATAAAGTGAGCTTGTTGGGAAGACACTGACAGTATATGTTGTCCATAATAAAACCCAACCTCTCAAGTGAAAAACTAGAATTTTGTAAGACTTGTATTTGCTACCATAAACTTGAAAGACATCAGTGTTTAAAGATGTTTCTGATGAGATTAGTGATGATGTTAAGAATTGTGGGCTTTTACCTATATCTTATAATTAAAAACTTAACATTTAGAAAATCTGCATAAGAAATACTTTTCAAACGACTCATACATGATAGCACAAAATCACATGTAGGTAAATGTTTAAAGTGCAAAATAGTCCAATAGATTTTTACATAACAGAATGAAAAAGAAGTTTTATTATGGTTTCAGATTCCATCTTAAAGAAAGCATCACTTGCTGAGTTTTGGTGTAGTATCAAAGAAGAATATCCACAGTTATCAGAAAGATTCTAAAAGATATCCTTAGTCCCTTTTCAACTATATACCTCTGTGAGGCTGGATCTTATTTATTTACTTCAGCCAAAAAACCCCAACACCACTCTATGTTATATATTATAATAAACTGAATGTAGAAACAGATACAAGAGACCAAGTGTTTTCTTTTAAGCCAGATATTAAAGAGATTTGCAAAAATATAAAATAATGCTACTCTTCTAATTATTTTTATTTTAGAATATATAATTATTTTTTATAAAATTGCTATTTATGTTAACGTTTAATTGGATAATTATTACTTTAAAATGAATTAATAAATATATACCTTAACATTTCTCAGTTTAAAATTATGAGTATTGATGTTGTTGATATTGATACCTCAATAAAGAAAAGCTTTTTGCTGTTCTTAGTAATTTACAAAATCTTTTTATTGTGAGCTTCTTTATACGTACAGAAAAGTTGTAAAAATAGTACAGAGAGTTTTCAAATATCCTTCTTCCAGCATTTCACAATGTGAACATCTTACATAACCATGGTATACTTATCAGATCAGGAAATTAGTACAATGCCATTAACAAAATAAAAACCCCATTTAAGCTTTTCCATTAATGTCTTTTTTTGTTTTTGGTTCCAGGAACGGGTTCAGAATCCCACATCACATTCTGTTATTACTTTTGACTGGTCTCCTGCTGTCTGGAACAGTTTCTCAGTCTTTCTTCATTTTCAAGAGTGTGAAAAGATAGCAAAACCAAAAGTCTGGGAACTGCTGGTTTAGAGTCACAATACTGACTTCTCAGAATGACTTTTGTAAGTAAAAGTGCTTTTAGTATGTAGATACACTTGTTATTATACACATCGTTTAAAGTATTTTTATTTAAGCAAATTTAAAAATTCTTCCTGTTCTGACAACTTGGCTAATTGTTACTAGTTGTAGTTCAAAACAAGCTAAAGGTTAAACCAGATAATTCTTGTCTATTTTAAAAATAGATATGTCTAACAGTATTTTAAAAAATTCCCACCAAAATATTCATAGTAACTTATTCTGGTGATCTAAAGGATAATCTGGCTAGCTCTAAAAATATTGCTGACATATCTCTACATGGAATTAACTTACCAGTGAGAGGATGATAGTTTGTGATTGATTACTAAGACTGAAATTTGGCTTTGTCTAAATAAATCTTATTATTTTTTATGCTTCAAATATACTGAATCAACAAGTCAGAGAAAAACTGAACATTGAGTGGAAACAATTACCCATTTGTTTTCCTGGAGACTCTCTCAATGGCTTACACAGGAGTACATTCTATTTCCAGATCTATTTGACACAGCAGCAGAGATGACCTTAGTTTGTACAAAGTCATTCCCTGTGAAAACATTACAGTTCAGAATTAAGAGAAAGCATATTATATTTTAAAAATATTCAATAAATTATCTATTTTCAATTATAATGGAACTTTGGTAATGCTAACATTGGACAACTGGCCTAAGAAACCATCAGATTTTCTAGTCAAGCTCTTCTTACCTTTAATTCTATAAAACTCTATGTCAGTCCAGGGAATTGGACTTTGGCAACACATCTAAGTTCATAGAATGACAAGGCTTTAGTGTATTATTCTGTATTCTTTCTTTCTTACTGATGCACATACTTTGATTATCTTAATGGGTTTCAGCAATAGTTTATTTAATCATTAGAGAAACATGAGTAGAAATTAGTACATTTAGTAAAGAAAATATTCTTCTGCAATTATTTTATTGAAGGTTTGATAGTTGATGTTTACTGTAAGTTTTGTCTCAGAAAAGATTTATGGACTTTTCTCAAAATTTATGAGATATTTAAGTTAAATATTAAATAAGTACTATATTGAATATTTTACAACTTCAAAAAATTATTTATGTAAAAATAAATTTTGGATTGTAATAAGAACAGGAGAAGAAAGCTACTTCAGTGTTGATATTACCATGCTAGCAGCTGGATTCCATAGCAAAAATCTGCAATCAGCAAAGGGTACCAATCACATATACCTAAATTGGGTAGAAGAAATTCAGCTTCCAGTATTTTCCTTTTTCTTTTGTTTGCCTCGTGTTTTAGTCTATTTTTATGTTGCTGATAAAGACATACACAAGACTGGGAAGAAAAACAGGCTTAATTGGACTTATAGTTCCACATGGCTGGGGAGGCTTGAGAATCATGGCAGAAGGCTAAACAACTTTTTACATGGCAGTGGCAAAATAAAATCAGAAGGATGCAAAAGTGGAAACCCCTGATAAACCCATCAGATCTTGTGAAACTTATTCACTACCATGAGAACAGCATAAGTAAACTGCCCTTATGATTCAAATAATCTCCCACTGGGTCCCTCCCACAACACATGGGAATTATGGGAGCACAATTCTAGATGAGATTTGGGTGGGGACACAGAGCCAAACCACATCATTCTGCCCGTGGCCCCTCCAAATTCCATATCCTCACGTTTCAAAACCAATCATGCCTTCCCAGCAGTCCCCCAAAGTCTTAATTCATTTCAGAACTTACCCGAAATTACACAGTCCAAAGTCTCATCTGAGACAAGGCAAGTCACTTCTACATATGAACCTGAAAAATCAAAAGTAAATTTGTTACTTCCTAGATACAGTGGGGGTGCAGGTATTCGGTAAGCACAGCCATTCCAAAGGAGGAAATTGGCCAAAACAAAGGGGTCACAGGGCCCATGCAAGTTCAAAATCCAGCAGGACAGTTAAATTTTAAAGCTCTAAAATGATCTCCTTTGACTCAAGTCTCACATCCAGGTCATGCTGATACAAGAGGTGGGTTCCTATGGTCTTGGGCAGCTCTGCCATGTGGCTTCACAGGGTATAGCCCCCTCCCAGCTGCTTTTACAGGCTGGTATTGTCTATGGCTTTTCCAGGTACACCATGCAAGCTATTGATGGATCGATCTATTCATTCTCAGGTCTGGAGGATGGTAGCCCTCTTCTCACTACTCTACTAGGCAATGCCTCAGTAGGGACTCTGTGTAGGGGTTCTGACCCCGCACTGCCCTAGTAGAGGATTTCCATGAGGGCCCTGCTCCTGCAGCAAACTTTTGCCTGGCATCCATGCATTTCTGTACATCCTCTGAAATCTAGGCAGAGGTTCCCAAACCTCAGTTCTTGACTTCTGTGCACCTGAAGGCTCAACATCACATGGAAGCTGCCAAAGCTTGAGGCTTCCGCCATTTGAAGCAACAGCCTGAGCTGTATCTTGCCCCTTTTAGACATGGCTAGAGTGGCTGGGACACAGGGCACCAAGTCCCTAGACTTTACACAGCATAGGGACCCTGGGACCAGCCCACGAAACCCAAAACTTTTTTCCTAGGCCTCCAGGCCTGTGCTGGGAGAGGTACTGTGAAGACCTCTGACATGCCCTGGAGACATTTTCCCCATTGTCTTGGGGGTTAACATTTGGCTCATTGTTACTTATGCAAATTTCTATAGGTGGCTTGAATTTCTCCTCAGAAAATGGTATTTTCTTTTCTGTCACATTGTCAGGCTGCACATTTTCCAAACTTTTATGCTCTGCTTCCTTTATGAAACTGAATGCCTTTAACAACACCCAAGTCACCTCTTGAATGCTTTGCTACTTAGAAATTTCTTCCACCAGATATCCTAAATCATCTTTCTCAAGTTCAAAATTCTACAAATCTCTAGAGCAGGGGCAAAGTGCCACCAGTTACTTTGCTAATGCATAACAAGCATCACCTTTGCTCCAGTTCCCAACAAGTTCCTCATCTCCATCTGAGACCACCTCAGCCAGCCTGGACCTTTTTGTTCATATCACTATCATCGTTTTGGGCAAAGCCATTCAAGAAGTCTTTAGGAAGTTCCAAACTTTCCCACATTTTCCTGTCTTCTTCTGAGCCCTCCAAACTGTTCCAACCCTCTGCCTGTTACCCAGTTCCAAAGGCACTTCCACACTTTCGGGTAAGTTTTCTGCAGTGCCCCACTCTGCTGGTACCAATTTACTGTATTAGTCTATTTTCATGCTGCTGATAAAGACATACTGAAGACTGGGAAGAAAAAGAGGATTAATTGGACTTACAGTTCCATGTGGCTGGGGAGGCCTCAGAATCACGGCAGGAGGCGAAAGGCACTTCTTACATGGCAGCGGCAAGAGAAAATGAGAAGAATGCAAACGTGGAAACCCCTCATAAACCCATCAGATCTCCTGAGACTTATTCACTACCATGAGAAAAGTATGAGGAAAACTGCCCCCATGATTCAAATTATCTCCCACCAGGTTCCTCCCACACCATGTGGGGACACAGAGCCAAACCATATCAGTTGATGATTGATAAAGACGGAAAATAGTAAGGAAAGTTGAGAGAGAATTATTCTTAATATTTATATGTAAAACCTTAGAAAAATCTTTACTAAACTCATATTCATCTGGTTTGAAGCAAAGAAGAATATGCCTCAGGTAACGTCAGCTGATCACCTATTCCTTTGATCTAATAATGCCAAGCACTCTTCTAGTTTCTGAATGATACATATTCTGACCCTTCATACAAGAAAACATTTCTTCAGTGACTGTTATGTGTTAGACAACAGGCAGGGCAATATGGTTATAAAGATGAAAGAAACTCAGCCTCTGTCCATGGGGAGCTTACAGATTAGTTACAGACACAAGCACACAAACATAACATGGAACTAGCAGTAAAAGACTTAAGTTTATACGTAAAGAACTAAGTGCGACAGTCCATTGTAAACTGAGTGATCATGGAAATCACCAAAGAAATGCAGCTTCACATGGACTTTGCAGCAAGGGGTGGTCTTGCATAGGTGGAGGTGGGAAAGCAGAGGTCATTCTAGGTGGGAAGATTAAAAACATGGAAGAAAATGTACAAGAAATGACACAAAGCTAGCTTAATGAGGAGAGGGTGCTGTACTGTATTTTCTCTTTCATTTGCTTCCAATTCAAAGACAGCAGTCTTGGTATTGCTAAGATAATTTTGATGGTACTTTACAAAATTAATGTTCCATGCAACTTACAACTCTAACTTATGTATTTCTCCCTGTTACTTCCCTTCTCTTTGAATCTCACTTTCATTCTTTTTTTTCTCTCTCGCTTTTTAGCTTTCATCTGTAGTTCCAACAGACATTGTTCAGATGTATTAATGGCTTTGCTTTTGTAGAAGTTCTTAAGCTTGTTATATCTTCGGGACAGGTGAGAATTGGGAGGGAGGGTGCTGGTAGGTGACTGAGATTAAAAAGTTCTTCCAAATAAAATTTTTAACCTTTAGCACAAGATATATTCCTCAAAAGAAAAATTTAATCTTTTCTTAAGGCTTATATTGTAAAAAATATACTCTTGGTTTTTGTAGTATATGAAAAATTGATATCTCTTTTTAAAAACCACTTAAGCCAAATATCATGGTGAATAGTCAAAGAAAAAAAAAAGATGTTGATTGTGACATCAATTTTGAAAATGAAACTATATTATGCAATGTTATTATAATTCCATCTATATGTTAACTCTTAACATGACTAAGAATGAATCAAATATTAATTTTGATTGGTATAAATTTTTAGACAAATTAATATATTAAGATATGATCATTTTCATTTCATGTTTGACTGTGTAGTGTAATTATAAAGTCATTTGTCCTGAAGGTCAATCTCTAATCCTTTGTAAGTCATCATTCTTGCTTCTTTCTTATCATTCTGTCCCTTTTCTCTAGACTGTTCACTAGTCTAACTTTACTAAGCATTAATTTGTCAAAATCTTTGTGTATGTTTCATGCAATCTTCCAATTTTAATTTCTCTATGCAAGTGATTTTCATGGCATTATCGGATGGCCCAGATCAATAAGAGACAGATGCCCAAAGGTATCACTAAACACTAGAGTTATTTGGGAAATAGTGTGAATTTATTAGTGAATGTTTTCAGATTAGGATTTCTTTTGCTTATGTACGCAACTTCACAACAGAAAGCACACATAGAATGAATAGTTGGATAATAAGATGACATTTCTGCCTACGTATAGAGTCTCCCAAGTGTACTTAGTTCCATTTTGGGGATTATTTTAGGCATCTCCAGAACTCTGTTTGCTTGGTCAGACAGACACACCATTCGTGCAGGGATAGATTTGAACTGATGGATCCTCTTCTAACCTGTCGGAATATCCTGCTTCTCTGCTTAGTTGCAGCTGAGGGAGCAATGATACTTAAAAAAAAAAAAAAATGTATCTTTTTATATATTTATTTGACAAATAAAAATTATGCAGATTTACTGTGTACAACATGATGTTTTGAAATATGCATACATTTTGGAATGACTAAATCAAGTTAATAACATGCATTACATATGTTAGCACACGTATTAACATTGTGCATTACAAAATAACATACACATTACATATGCAACATTACGTATGTACATACCCATAATTGTATATCTGTTTTTTAATCTCAGAAACTTTTTTCATGAAGGGTGAACTGATTTTATGATATTGTTTTAGATTAAAAGTTTTTTAAAAAGTAATCTTTCTCTATTTTGTTGTTGTTTTTGTAAGTTCCAATTTGTAGTTTAATGGAAATACTGACAAAAACTGTTTATCATATTATACTGTTATATTTTGTAGTCATCTGCTTGGCTTTACTATTTAAAAATGTCACTTGTATCAACCACCCCCCAAATACATAATTTTAAAAAAATGTTTTATTTTAAGACAATGATACTATTTTGTTATGAAAATAGGACAAATTGATTGAGAGAAAATGTAAAAAATACAGGAAAGTGGAGAAAAAGTCACCAGAACAACTGACATTTTTAATATTTTCTTTCAGTTTATCCCTATGCTAAATAGACTTTATATATTTCAAATCAAATTGCAGATGATATTACACTTTCATATTTTTGCCCTGTAGTAAGAAGAAAGCCTTAAAAACCCTTGATTGAATGGTTGGTGTCTACAGACAAGCGAATGTATGGAAGAGTAACAAGACATCCAGCCTGAATCTGTTGAATGAACAAAAGGGGAAATGTCCTTAGGAGTCAGATGGAAGAAGGTTTTCTGGGAAGAGCAGAACAGAGGAGTTGGGCCTCAGACCTCCTGGGTCACAAGCAGGAGGAGAAGAGTAGGGAGACTTTAAAGTGATTGAGACGAAAATGGAAGTAAAACAGCTTAAGGCTTTTTGATACCGGGTTCCTGGCAGCGTCATTAGCAGATGGTTTCTTCTGAAGTTCAGGGGAAGAGAAGATGGTTGAAGGACTCTCCAGGGACTGAGTGGGTGTTACGGAGCCAGTGCTGTAGATGCTGTGTATACAGGCGAATTCCCCAGTGAGTGTTTTCCAATATCAAGTTTAACTGACATTGAAGTTGTATACCAAAGGTAGGTAAATTATTTTGGCCTGTGCTTATAGGTTTATTTGACTCAATGAAGCTACCTGTCTCTGTCCTACTGTGCTGTAGCAGATGCAGGGTCTTTCCATACAATACATTGAGAGCTACATCTCATTTTAAATATTTTAAAAGAAACTCTGATCGTACAAGTCAAGATTTTTAAGATCAGCTTTCGGTCAAATTTTTTTGCTTTATTTTTTTCTGGAGATCAAAATGAATGTTTAACTGTTTAAGTTGATTGCAGAGAAAGTTGCTACTCATTCTAAATGTAGGTTTTTAGAAAAAGTGTCCTTGCCAATTGCTTCAGTTGACTTTTTCAAACTTGCATGGGAATCAAGATTCAGAACTGGTACACTAGTGGGAAGAGCCTGGAAAATAGGCAATTGATCAAGAAGGTGGCCCAGATACTTTAAGACCTTTTTAGTGTATTTGAAAGATTATAAGTTTGAACTAACAGAAACTTTAGTGCTGTTTTCTTTTCACAAGTCAATGTGTAGTATACCTTGTTATTCTTTGTTTTCCTATAATATCTTAATAATATTCCTGGCTGTAAGGAAAAATTAACATTATACATACATTTTGACTTATTTTATAGATGACCCAAACAATATTTAACAAAATATTTCTCAAATACTATTTGGAGATAACTATATTAGACACCATCTTAATTTCTCAACATGCTTCTTTTTGAGACTTCCAGATTTTGGTGCTCTTTTCAGCATCACTCATTTTCTTTCATAATAAAGATACCCAATTGAAATATCATGATAAAGATCTGATAACAAATCTCCACTTTTGAAGTGTTACATTTCATATCTATGTGTCCACAAAGAATTCAGTATGAACATTGCATATACCAATGAATATTCCCTAAGCTTAAAGCCTCTAAGTCTAGGATACTTGCAGTTATTTAGCAAATAATTTAATCCATGGCAAACATGAGTCTTAATACAAAAATTATTGAGTAGGCAAAAAATAATTTAATGTATTTGGGACTGATTACCAGTGCATTAAAAAAGTAGAGGTTTAAGGATGGGAATAATACGTTTTTTTGTTTTTACTTAAATTTATATAAAAGGAAGGAAAATAAAGTAGCCTATAGTACTTACTAGTGTGGTTATATTTTCAGCACTTAATAATTACTATTGAATTATGTAATGTAGGACTATATCTGATATGATTTCGCTCTGTTTACCCACCCAAATCTCATGTTGAATTAAAATTTCCAATATATGGGGAGGTACCTAGTAGGAGGTGACTGGATCATTGGGGCAAATTTCCACCTTGCTGTCCTCATGATAGCGAGTGAGTTCTCACAAGATCGGATGGTTTAAAAGTGTGTGACATTTCCCCCTTTACTCTTTCTCTCTCCTCCTGGCCATGAGAAGAAGTGCTTGCTTCTCTTTCACCTTCTGCGATGATTGTATTTCCTGAGACCTCCCAGCCATGCTTCCTGTTCAGCCCCCAAAACTGTGAG